ACCCCATGATTATTTTTATCTACTATATATAGAAGAATTATAATGAAATATATTAAATAAGGTAGATATTTATTTAGAAATGGCTGATAGTATAATATTAATTAGGGGTTAAAGGTCTTACAAGTAAAGTAAAATAAAAGGTGGTAATAAATAAAGTAAATTCACTCAATTTTCTGTTTGAATTAGACTCATTCTTTTGTAACAACATTATCCCAGAAGTTTTTAGATTGAGCTCTCTTTATAGTATTCTTAGTTTGTGCATAGTAGTAGTTGCCACTGTATCCATAGTTGTTGCTTCCATAGTAGTTATTACCGTAGCCACTGCTATAACTGTTATAACTACTATATAAGTGACTGTAGTCTCCATTAAGTTCAGCAATTTTGTTCTTGACTTATGTTTCAAGATAAGAGACAGAGCTATTAAACTCACTTCCATCTTTGCTTGAGTTAGTCAAAGACTCAGCAAGAGTTCTAATTTCTTTTTCTTTCACAAGTAGTAATTCAACTAGATACTCAGCAACTAGTTTATCAACTTACTTCAAATCTTCAGCAGATGGGGTCCATTGCTCTAAGGAGTAGTTGCCTTGTCTGAGAAAGTTAAGAGCCTCTCTAGTTTGATTCACAAAAGTTTCGAACTGGTAATAGTAGCAGATTTCCTGAAGAGAATCTTCAGCTTCTTCTCTGAATTTATACTCTTGATCATAAGTGTATAATCCATAGTCTAAAACAACTGACCAAGCATCATCAACAAGGCTATTAAAGATTTCCTAGTCATAGTAATCTAAGTTGTAGGCACCGTTAGGACAACTTACTGGTAAATTATCGGTAGAATTGGTAGAATTGCTTTCTGAATCATTATTGCTATTTCCATACTAATCATCTTCATAGATATTGCTATCAGTTGAATTGGTAGAGTTGTCATCTGAATAGTATTAGTAATATGAATCTGTATATTGTGATACTGAGTTATTCTAATCATAGTTACCGTGATAGTAATCATTGTCGTAATATCTGGTTGCGAGTTTGGTTTTGATTAAACTTAATGATTGAGCTAGTTTTGTCTTCTAGGCATTATTTTTTACTGCTTAGGAAGATTCCAAGAAGATTGCGAGGGTAGCAGTTATAAAGATATATTTTGAAGCTGTCATATTTATTAATTATTAGTTTAGTAATGATAATTCCCTTTAAATAGTTAAGAGATCGCAAGATTTGTTTTTAAATCCTAATAAAATAAAATAAATTGTATAATTAACATAACTTAATAGCTCATCTAATTACTGGCAAAAAGATATTTTATGTTATTTATTCAGATTAACAAGCTTCATTGAATCATGGGGTTTTGGGGTTTTGGGGTTTTGGGG